GTAAAGTAATGCATTTTTATTTTCACCACCGCATCGGGGCCGAGCCGCCTACGAAATGCCCTGCCTCACCACAGGCCATATCTTGCGAGGAAAAACTTGACCTAAAATCCCGGCTGATCTTTGTCCCGGCTAATTTGAAGGCCTCTTGAAATTGGGCCGGTTTCTCTGGGATACGGCTAGGGAGCCGCGTAGAAGCGGCGATAATTTGACTTAATTTCCTGCCTGCGGGCGTGTAGCGTAGCCAGAGTTTGACTAAGAGTGTAGAGCCTGTGTACCGTCACCTCATACTTTCTTTGTTTGTTATTTGATGCAGGTATCTGAAGGCATCGTGGTAAGAATCGAGTTCACCACCATCGAGAGCTCTTGCGCCAGCTCACATGCCTATTCTAAGGAGCAGTGTTCACCCCGAGGTAGTACGGTAAGAATTAAAAGAATACCGCGAGGAAGTGCCCAGTCGCTGGGCATTAAAAGAAGCACAGTGCTACAGGCGTACCAGTTTGGGAAGTGACAGCTTTGTTCAAGTCAACGCTCAAACATCGTCAATTTCCTTACGCACTACGCTGCTGTAAGCATCCGTCTACTCGGTGCATTCATTCAACTTATGCTGTGGGTCGCCCAAAATTGCTTTTGGCCATACGTTATCAGAGAGCTGTGCGATAAAATGAGCCACATAACTCGAAAGTAGTATCAAAAGACCATAAGACCACTTTATATCGAAAAGCACGCTTTCTGTTCTTTATTCTATATTTATAATTTTTGGCAAGTGCTTATACTGCAAAGAAACAGGGCAGAGATAAGATTCTGCACGAATAGGTCGAAGCTTAAAACTTTGTTAATTTCCAAGTGGGTCAAAGTGTTTCAAATGTGAACGCAAGTACCTGCCTCTGTGATTGCATTCCAATAAGGGTAAAATGCAGAAACAGCTTCAACCATAGAACTAAGGGCATAATGGAGGACCCTAGGTGGTCAAAGTATATGACCACAATGATGTTTATGGTGTCCAATATCACATCAGAGTTTGGCAGGTAATATGATCTAATTAGCTTTTTAACTTTATTCATCTATCTGGAGTGTGGTATTCAGCTTAGGCCTGATCATTTTATCCGTTGCTATGCAATTCAGTTACGATGCTTGGCTTTGGTTTCTGTGACTTTAGTTTTAGTGGAACTTTTCTCATTTCAGTCTTTTTTAGAGCGTTTACGTAGACTTGTTTAGCCAATGAAAATAAAGCATTGACACCAAGTGTTATTGGGAAACGTGCTCACTTCACTCCAAAAAAGCAGCAATGACATAGCATGAAGAAAGTTAACACAATTGAAATTTGGATGAGAAACTGCATCGGTGCATAGCACCAAATAAACACAACATTATTGAGTTCGTTAGCAGCCTTTTGTGTAAAACCAAGGTTTTTATTTTCATTTCCCAGGTGAACGGGCTATGTCAAGCCAGATTTCGTTACGCTGGTGACCTGACCATGGAATATGCGCAGTGTAATTCACTGAAATAAAAATACTTTAGAAAGTTTTCGGTAATAACAGAAGTCTTAATTACTTCCGCAAGGTAGGTATTCAAAACCCAATAATAAACGACAATAAACTTGTTGAATAAATGTTTTCTTTGAAAATGTCACAATTCAATGCACACATTTTATTGTTTTGTAACAATAGAAAAAAATAGTGATAACTCTTGTGTTGATTAGCCACTGTGAACCGAAACTGGTCCCGTCTTCTAGATGAGGAGTAGTGTTCAAAGTCACCGTCATCAAGATTCGTCGAATGCTCAATAAAACAATACCATAACATTTTGAACTATATTTACGTTTGTGAACTCTGAATTCTTAAAACTAATTAGACGACCCATATGGCAGCTTGCCCCCAACACCATCAAGCTTTGGCAGTTTGTGATTTTACATTATGAGATTACTTCTTGTTTCCAACAAGCAATAAAATTACCGTTAAGTGACATATGGTCTTTAGTAAATTGAATAAGCCCAGGTAGTCAAAATCTCCACAGTCCTCCACTATGGCGTCTCTCATAATCCTACGGTGGTTTGGGACGTTAAACCCCACATATCAATCATTAATTAAGGGACAATAAATATGTATAATATTTTGCCCTATTTAAAATATTAGAACTGTGTAATAACCAGTGCTTCATTCCTAGTAGCCTGGTATGAAAAGAGCATTTATGACTGAGAATAAGAAATTGTGAAAATTGGTTAGCTGCCCTCTGTGTTTCCCCTTGGGTACCTCATTTACTGAAGTCATATAACCTATTTTGATCTCTTTTTTGCGAGCATGGTATATAGATAAAAATTTAATTAGATAAACAAGGACATCAAATAATCATGTAAAAACCAACACTTACTGTTCAGTTAATTTTTGTGTCCTTCAAAGAAAGTCATGGGGTGTTACGTAATAATAAGATCACAGTGGTGATGACAACATGAGCGCGCCACATGATAACATAATAATAAGTATTAATAGTATTACCTTGTTTTTAACGTCTCAAAACTACAATGTAATTATGAGAGCCGCCGTAGGGGAGAGATCCTGAAATTTCGACTATATCGGATTCTTTAACATGCACCCAAATCTATGTAAAAGTGCTTCTAACATTTTCTCCTTCATTGAGAATGGAGCCCCCACCGCCAGGATTCGATCCCATAACCTTTGGGTTAACAATCGAGCGCCATAACCACTGGACCACCGTGGTGGGGCAACGCTGCAAATAACTCCACGTAGAAAAGAAAGGGGAAGTTCTATATTTAGCGGTGAAAATACGGGCGCTGTTGTGGAAATACAATCACTGTTGATATAGGATGCCTGCGATTTGGCTCTGTAGCGTTCGCTCCAACGCCAAGAAAAGTTGTCGCTGGGTGTATAACTTCATTGCAGACTTTTAGGGTCACGCTCAAGCAACGGCTCGCAGAAGAGGCCACCTACCTCGCAACGCAGGGACGTGGGGAGGGGGGGGGGGTTCACCCTCTTCAAAGCACGCCCTTTGACGCCAGTCGCGCCATCGCTAGTGATTACAAAAAAGCGCTGAAATGGACAATTTTCTGCCACTTGTTCTCTAACTCAAATCTAGATGGCACCACAGCACTGTGGATGTCCCCTTACCGTGGCCGTCTTTTTGCCGTGGCCTAAGAGCAGCACTGCTCAACAACTGCATCTCGTCGTCTACTCGGCGTCCCCGTAGCGCCAGCATGCTCGCTATTAAAAGTGAAGCAGGCGCAGACTACACGACGTGGATGTTCAGCAGTGTTGCAGAAGGCCACGGCAAAAAGGCGGTCATCGTAGGGAAAGTCAACATGGCAACATCTGTGCGTCAAGTTTCCTTCCGCCTCGATGTTACCATGCCGTCGTGCTGCGTTATATGGCTCGTAAGTTCACAACGCACGTCTTCATTTGCTTTATATTTACGTCCTGAAGCTTCGAGAGCAATGTATTCGTCCCTATTTTGCAGTGTTTTCTAGACTTATTCCCAAGTTCTCCGAGGCAAGGCTAAGTAGGGATGACTAAATAAAGGCAAATAAACTTTTTATTGAACACAGTGCCTAGTTGATGTCTCGTCCCCAGCATGAGGTGAAGCGGGATAGCTGATTTTACTATTTATTTATTGCTCTAAAGACAGTGGGCAAGTATAAAGCGTGAGTTTGGATTACGGCGGGTGGTCGTGGTCTGTACGGCTGCTGCCATGTTGAATTCTAAACCCAGCTTTCACCGCTCATGGCCACGGCCCCTTCACTGGCTGAATGCGCTCGCTTGGGCAACTGGCTGGAAGAAGGCAAGTTTATGGTCACGTGATCAAACATGGCAGTGCGTGGACGCCGCTGTTGAAAATCATCTATAGGTGTGATCTGAGGACAGGCAACAGCATATGGTCTCTATAAATTTCTTGCCGCAAGTATGCTACCTTTAGATACCAGAGCTGTGCCACTGTTTTCCGGACGCCGCTCACCCGCATTTTCATGATTCCAGCAACGCTATTGGTCGCGCGTCATCACGTGGTCATAGGTGGTAGAAATGCACTGCGCAAAAGCCAATAATACGCAGACGACACCGATGCTTCACAGGGTTATGAGCGTGCTGGTGCCCTTCGCTCAGACTTCGAGTGCGTCCATCACGGCCACTGGGTGCGTCCATCACGGCCACTGGGCGCGTCCCACAGAGACGAGTGTCAGTGGTGGTGGTGCCCCCTCCTCTTTCAGCGTCTCAGCGTCTAGGCGTGCTAGGAGCAACCAATTTTCGCTCCTACCTTCATAAAAATAAAACAGCGAGAAAAAGTAAAGCAACGCTAGCACTCCGAAGTGCTAGTGCCGCTCCTGCGCGGGTGGTGAGTGACTTCCCCGCAAGACTTTTGAACCCGAGATGGCGTACTTTGGCGCAACTCTGCTACCTAAAGGTAGCATATACAGTAACTCTAAAGCTACCTCTCATGAATCCCCGCCGCGGTGGTATAGTGACTATGGGACTCGGCTACTGACCCGCAGGTCACGGGATCAAATCCCGGCTGCGGCGGCTGCATTTCTGATGGAGGCGGAAATATAGTAGGCCCGTGTGCTCAGATTTGGGTGCACGTTAAAGAACCCCAGGAGGTCAAAATTTCCAGAGTCCTCCACTACGGCGTCTCTCATAATCATATGGTGGCTTTAGGGCGTTAAATCCCACATATAAATCATCAATTACCTCTTACGCAGCGTCGCATCACGACTACTCCCTGAATTAAAGCAGACCGACAGCTCTCGCCGAGAAGTGCGCGTTTCCACTGCCATTGAAAGAAATGAAGGAGGCGTTGTCTAGCTTTACAAGTGCGCATAAACCATGTATTTTATGCCACATGCATCAGTATTTCGAGCTTTTCACGTGTTTTTTTTCGTCACTCTGATAAGTCTATTTATCGCTCATGACGAATACCACGTGTTATCAGCAAGCGTGAGCTCTGATAGCACCCTCTAAGCATGGTTAAAAGCAGCATCGCAGTCCCGACCGCTTTCTCAACCAAGCCAGCATCGACGGCTCATTCTGCTGCAACTGCGAGCATTATTTCGGTGTCAAGCCCATCGCCACGAATTCGCAAGGCGCTCTTTGAAGGAAACGACAACCGTTGCAACAAAACAAAATGTTGAAATTTGTCTTGTTCCCTCTGCTCTGCTCTGTTGCCATCGCTTGCCAGATGGACGACTTTTTCGCCGGGTGCGTGGAAAAACCCGAAGATGAACAGAAGCCTGGCGACTGCATCATCGCTCCCGAGCAATGGCTCCGTTCGAACACTTACCGATACTTCGCCCACCAAGCCCTGGAAAACTCCACCGTTCAACCGGATCAGGGCAACCTTAACACCCTACTTGACGTGACTCGTGGGGCGGCTCGGGTAAGCGCTTCTTTGAATGAGCCCTTCCTTGCATTATAATGAACTCGAAGTTGTTTCTACGTGACTAGGTATTGCGAAACTTATTTTGCACACACGACACAAACACTCGGTTATTGTGTCCTCAAGTTTGAAGGGGAAGCGTTGCCGAGCGAGAATTGTGAGTAGTCGCTCACATGCATTGCTATCTGTACTGACACATCGTCACCTCTTTTTGTGGGTGTTGTGAAGTGCATACTACTGCTGTCGAAACTGGCCTTGATATAGAACGTTAGCAATACGTACTGTATTGTTTGGCGTTGCCAAAAAGTAACACGTTACCCAGATTATATGTCACGTTTCATGTGCAGTGGAAAGCTCTGCTAGTTGGTACGTATTTATGGCGGACTACAGCGCAAGAAATGCAAAACGGAGACTGAAGAAACACCAACGGTGACTCGTGTTCCTTCCATCCATTGCGTACGTTTTTTCCGCCGTAGTACTTCATGCACCTTGGTTCTAATGCATCGCATCCTTGGTTGGCGTAATCAGCTGCGGAGCGGTTGCGGTTTCTTGCTCGTCTTTCCTCTCTTGCGCACAGCATGAACAGTATTTTCATTACGAGAAAGACTAATGCGCTGTGGGTGATTTGCTATAAAAAGAAAACTCCGTGTTCAAGAACTTCATTCAACACAATGAAGCTACAAACCTTTAGAACGACAGGTCGCGGGATCGAATCTTGGCTGCGGCGGGTGCATTTTTGATGGAGGGGAACATACAGCCGCCCGTGTGCTCAGATTTGGGTGCACGTTAAAGAACCCCTGGTAGTCGAAATTTACGCAGCCCTCCACTATGACGTCTTTCATAATCATATGGTACGTTAAACCCCACAAATCAAATCAACCTCCAGAACGACAATACGCAATCGAGTGACATGTTTCACGTGTGAAGCTTGACGCGTGACAGCGCAGCTGTTTTGGTTTGAGGCATTCATGTCGAGGGGCTAGCGTAAATCGGAACCACCCCCCCCCCCCACCTTTCCCAACTACGCCCGCAACTACTCTCGTCACTACTTGCACTTAATAAACACATTCCATTCAACCAGATTAAAAGTGGCGAAGCGAAGGCATCTTTGTAAGTTATTGTTGGTCTTCCATTGGTGTTTCGCTACCTGTAGCTGGCTGATTTTTTTTTTCGTTTTTATTAGTTCTACCTTATCATTTTATAATTCGACATGTCGGTAAAAATTTAGCACATGAAGATTAGAGGAGTTGGATCCGCTTACCCTTCAGATTTCGCCTTCTCGTATCTCGGACTGTGCCCGCTGTGCACGCGTCTGCCCTGCAAAACGTGTCTGCCCTGTCGGAAAGCAGCCTTCTTGATTGCGGCTAACATTTTCTACTGCATTTGGCACAGAATACGTCTACTTGATAACATTTCTATTAGATATGGTTCCGTTGTTGTACGTCACAGATCGTTTCTCAATTTTTTTTCCGAGAACATTCGAGAATAAGTCGTATCATATGAACAATCCTTGCGTTTTTTTCGTTCGATTCTGCGCAGCTCTCTGATGGCATTATAGTCAAGGTCCAGTTCACAACTGTAGAGAGCATCTGCAACAACACAGTGCCGTACTCCGAGAAAGATTGCCCACCACTCGGAACTCAGGTGAGACGTTAGAAGCATCATTTCTAACTTCGGTAACACAATTTCTGTAGACACTTGCGCTGCAGAAGCGTCACTGTACGCACGACATTCCTTGTTAACTTGACTAAGCTTTAGCGGGGCGCTTCCTGTGCAAGCCTGGTAATTAGAAGCAAGAAACACGGGACGCATTCATTGATATTGAACTGAAAGTACTGCACAAATAAGAAACTGTTAAAAGAACAAAATGCACACATTATCGATTTTCTTTCTGGAAACCACACTACGCAGTGTAGCAAATTGTCCCAAGTACCAAACGTGTAGTATGAAATCGTGTAAAATTTTTTATGGAATAATATAGAATTCATTTGGATTTCACGTCTGACATCGTTGATCAGTGTCTAAGGTGCTAGCTACTGACCCGAAGGTCACGGGTTCGACCCCGGCTGTCGCAGTTTCATGGAGGTGGTTTTGGGACGTTAAACCCCACAAATCAATCAATCAGCAGTTTCATGGAGGCAAAACGGTGGAAGTTCGTGCACTGTGTCAGTGCACGTTGAAGAACACGAGGTTGCACTGACGTCTATGTACTTAGCCTAAACTTGGTCGATATTCTTGTTGTTTCGATGCCTCGTTCGTATCCGGTTATAAACTTTCCGCTGTGTTGGCTCCTTAATGCGAGCAATTTTCAGTAGCTTCAGCATGACTACAACTACTAAGGTTGCAATAAACTGACGTTTTGTTTAGGTGCCGTCTTCCACGTCAGCAAACTTCCTTTCCTACCAAGTGTGCAGTAGCTGTATTTAAGAGGAGCACATATATTTGAGTTTATTTTTAAATCGATAGGCATTTTGTTTTACTACTGCAGTGTGCTGTCCAAGCTTGAAATGAAAGCTTGGTTCATCACATGAACTAAGTGAGACTTGAAACTGGCATATATATATATATATATATATATATATATATATATATATATATATATATATATAGAAGAATAACTTCGGTTGCTGCAAGGTTATAAATATGAAAGTAGATGCGCTTTCACATAACAACTGTTTATTGTGCCGACGTTTCGACAGGAACCCTGTCTTTTTCAAGGCATAATGCCTTGAAAAAGACAGGGTTCCTGTCGAAACGTCGGCACAATAAACAGTTGTTATGTGAAAGCGCATCTACTTTCATATATATATATATATATATATATATATAAATTTTTTTTCACAGACTAATGGAGAGTGCTGGGCAATGTTTCGGTATTTTGGTTACCTGCGACTTGAGGACGCCTGCTGTACCCACACGCCCGAAAAATGAAGTGGCTTCACGGCTTCACCCGAGACATGTCTGGACTTTTCTGCCACCAATTTCAAATATGACAAACGCTGTAGCGTAGTTCCTGCACCAATTTCAATTATTCCTGTATATATCTAATAAAAGTCATCTGCCATACCGTCTCCCCTCTGTTGCGGAACTCGTTTTCTGGCGTGCTGTGCTTCACTACAAGCTAACATCTTTCTGAACCAACACCAACAGAGATCGACATCTGGATCTCTATATAGACGCGGTTCAGAAAGATGTTATACATGCGTACAAGGTGCCCAAACGAAGCATGAATAACATATAAAAAAGAGAGAGGCACTACTCGCGTTGAGCAACTGCGGAGATCTCGTCATTAAACCAGCAGACAAAGGAGGCGCGATTGTTCTGAATAGATCGGGCTACACTGAGGAAGGCAAGCGACAACTAAATAACAAACAATTCTACAAACACCTTGACTCTGACCCTACCACCGAGCTCAAAAAGATCATTGTAATAACCCTTGAGGATCTCGCATGTGAAGGCGCCATTAATTAAAAGCTTAAACAAGGCACTTATTACGGTACATTTGGCGCCTGGTCGTTTTTACATGCTGCCGAAGATTTATAAAGAGAGAAACACTGGCAGATCCAATATATCAGGCACGTGACCGTTAACGGAATCTATTTCCGGTTATATTGATTCTTTAATCAAAGATATACCACCCACACATGAGTCCTTCTTGCGTGACACAAACCATTTCCTTCGGGCAATTGCAGACGTAAAAATTCCAGACGGTGCATTTCTCGCAACATTGGATGTTAGCTTCCTCTACACAAACATCCCACATGACGATGGTGTAGGGGTGCTTGTTGAATTGTATGGCACCCACAACCCTGTCGCATATCCAAGCAAAAAAGTAATTGAAATCTTCACAAGACTTGTACTCGAATTGAACAGCTTTGAATTTAACAACCAGTACTACCTTCAAACCAGCGGCACCGCAATGGGTACAAGAATGGCCCCATACTAGGCTAACATAATCGTGCACCACATAGAGTCCAATTTCGTTCCATTTTCTGATATCAAACCATTATTTTATAAACGGTACCTAGATGATATATTCATAATTTGGACACATTCGGAAAACGAGCTCCTAAATTCATACAGGCATTCAACCATGTACACCCCAGCATTTATTTTACACACTCCTACTCTAACACAGGAATGAACTTTCTTGATGTACTCATTCGAGTTGACGATGGTGCGTTGGTAACAAGCATATACAGAAAACCTACGGACAGGCAACAATACCTGCACTTCAGAAGCTGCCACCCGCGACATTGCAGGACCAGCATTCCCTATTCCCAAGCACACAGATTCCGACGAATCTGCTCCCGCACCGAGGACTTCCACAAAAACAGCCAACATACGCGCGAAGTACTCCTTAATCATGAATACCCGCCAGCTACCATCGATGACGCCATCAAAAAAGCTGAAAATCTGGACTGCCAGATTCTTCTAAACCACCAGAAAAACGCAGACCATCACCGCAACAAAAACTTCCTATTAACTTTCACGAGAAACACCAAACATAAACAAGGTCCTAAGAAAACACTTTAACATAATGGAACAGAGCATGCGACTATCCAAAACTTTCACTTCTCCTCCTTGTGTGGTATACAGACGGCCGAAAAATATAAAGGACCATTTAATAAATTTAAAAATAGGCGTGAAATTTCAAATTGCGTGTCACCCTTGCAGAAAAAGCAGATGCAAGGTATGCAATTATATGCAGACAACGACAGTGGCGAAAAGCACCCACTCGGATTTTAAGCACTGGATAAGAGGTGCACTAGACTGTGACTCAGACAATGTGGGGTATGTAACAAGCAATACGTGGGCCAGACAGACACTTCGTTTAGAATTAAATTTAACAACCATCGAGCACATGTACGATCCCTGCCAGGCCTTCCACTTTCAAAACACAGCACATTGAAAAACCACAGCTTTGATGACATCAGGGTTACACTATTAGAAAACAACTTTCGAACAGTGAGAGAACGGGAACAACGGGAATCTTATTTTATCTACAAATTTAACACAATGAAATGCAGAATAAATGAACACCCAAGCACTCTGTCAGTTTTACGACCGCTAAAAGACACAAACGCTTCTCTCAAATGAGTCCGTTCTCATTACAACAATACTATTACCTGCTAACAAAGCTTTTAGCCTATGCTTCTGACAACATAGAAATGATTTGCCTCATCAAGCACAGCCGGAACGCACAGATAAGTGGTCTCGGATGTCGTACAATCCCCGCCCCCCTTTCTTTTCTTTCTTCTTTAATTTTAACGCGCATTTTCTGTTCCTTCACTGACCGGAGCCATTGCATATAATGAATATCGATGGCGGCGCCTCATTTACCGGCGTTTTCATTCCTCCCGACGCCACCAGCACGCACTCGTAGCGCTTAAGCTCTCCCCATCAACTTGTCTTAAACTTCAAAGAGGAACGAGCTGCCAGCGGATTACACGGGAAGGTGAAATACAAGAATAGCGGCACACTGCCCACTTGGGGAAGAGTGGGTGCGGGGTAGGTATTGTTGGCAATGATGGCATTGCTCGTCTAGCTCTGCCCTACTCTGTTGAGATGCTGCCCCTTTCTAATTCTGCTGTGTCGGTGTTGCTTCTTCTCCTAGATTTTCTATATTTATTTAACGTTTCTCCTCCCGTTTCGTTGTTTCTTTTTTTCTTCTTTTTACTTTTCTTTTGACCCCTTCCCTCCTGTCTCGACAGGCTATAAGAAGACACCGAACATGTATAAATATTATTATGCCTTGATAAAGACGGGGCTCCCGTCGAAACGTTGGCAGAATAAACAGTTGTTATGTGAAAGTGCATCTACTTTCATATTTATAACCTTGCGGCAACCGAAGTTATTATTCTGCATATATATATATATATATATATATATATATATATATATATATATATATACTATTGAGTGGCGCACTACGGGATTTTCTACGACTCGCTGAAAGATTACTTACTTGCGAAGATTGGCTCTGTCATCCATGAGTCTCTCGCAGCGCTCTTTGACGGCACATGCGGTGAACTGCTTTCTCCTGAAAGCGTGTAAATTGTTAGCGACTGCGTTCCACTGTAGTGTATCGCGAAACGGGTTCAAATGTCTGACTTCTCATCATGATTTTAAGTCGTCACACACAGTGAATCTCGCGCACGGGTTTGCCTGTTTTGCGACACTCATGTTCGTAGCACGTTTTTACTTTGTGTTTGTTTCAATTGCCTCCATTACCAGTGAAGCGATAGGCAGCTACTTTTCTGACGTATGCCGGTGCAGGCGTTACCTTGCGAACGAAGAATGCACTCGGAAACGAAAAAGACGAGAACATTACAAAGTGCTTACTTCTATTCACGCATGCACAATATTCTTACTATTTAAAAAATAGGTATAAATAAATATGAACCGCGCCCCAAAAACGGAAAATTTTAGCTTGCAGATTAGTTTACATTGATCTTCTAGATAGGCCTAGACACGTTCAAAATGGGAAGCTATCTCAAAAACTACGCCAACTTATCCGCAATACTTGGTGGTCGAAGCTAACTGAAGGCAAGCGAAGTCACTTTAAAGAGTCGTTTCTTGCGAACAAGGTGAAGCTTTCTCCAACTACTCCAAAATCACTTGGAAGCGGGCATCCTAGAGTACTGCCTTGTTTACGTACACTACGTGCACCTACGCTACCTTAAATCTGAAAAATACCGCGCGCACGGTAAGCGGTACGCGTAACGTACGTATCGGCGCATGCGCACTTCGATTCCGGTACCACGGTACACCCGCTATCAAGGTAAGCCCGGTATACTATAACTGTCTAATACATCGATCAAACTCCCTGGAATGTCATTGTGGTCATGCAGAAAAAAATATTTGCCTTAATCTTTTGAAGTGCGTAAAGTACGCAAATGAAAGAGAAAAATCAAGGAATAAACTAACACGTTTGGACAGATGACCGCTAACATTAAAGAAGTTACTCCGACTATAGCCTCAGATGCATTTTTAGAAAAAGAAGGACGTCTTCCTGACAGATTTCTTAGTACAGACCGGGCTGGAAAAGCGCTTGTGATATACAGTGAGGGGCTGACATATATGAAATGGTGTTTTCGTACACATACTGAAAGCAGAAATAAAAAGGTGTCCGTGTGAACATTGTATGACAGTGTGAACTGCTGCACACAAGCTGTATATTGGCATAGTATTTCAACTAGTTCCAGGTTGCTATTGTGCTTTTTGCTAATTGTTCATTTATGGAAACCAATCAGTAATATTGTTTTTTTTATTTTTTCTGCTGCAAAGCTCATTCATATGAAGTAGCCGAGAAAATGTGGATCTCGACCTCTCCGCAGGAAAAGAGAACAAAACATAAAGAATCCTACACGACAATCAGATATGTTCAGGCAGCTTGCGCTCTCATTTCATTTTTGCGTAACTCAACTCTCATAATAATAATAATAATAATAATATTAATAATAATAATAATAATGATAATAATGTGGTTTAACTTCTGTAAAGCCTGATATGATTATGAGAGACGCAGCAGTGGAGGGTTCACAAAATTTCGACCACCTGGGCCTCTTTAAATTGCAATGGCATTGCACATTACACGAGCCTCTGCTGTAGGCCCATGCGATCAGATTTGTGAGCACATTAAGGAATCCCAGGCGGTCGAAGCGCCACCTGGGGTTCCGGTGGCTTCGACCACCTGGGGAGCCCTCCCCAGGTGGTCCGGGGAGGGCTCCGGACCACCTGGGGTCCGGTGCCCTCCCCGGAGCCCAGGTGGTCCGGAGCCCTCCACTACGGCGTCTCTGATAATCATATTGTGGTTTTGGGACGTTAAACCTCACATAATAATCAACCAAACCTTTCAGCTTCATCGAAACGTGCCCGCTATGGCCGCAATCTCACCTGCTACCTTTGGGTCAGCAGAGGAGCACCATAGCCACTGTTC